TTATCTTTTTTTCTTTTGGTCTTTTTGAGACAGGGTCTCCCTGTAGCCCAAGCTGGCCACCTGCCTCTGCCTCCTGAGTGCTGAGAGTAAAGGCATATACCTCCAGGCACAGCTACCTTTTTTTTTTTTTATTATTCTTTAGTAATTTCACACATGAATACAATATATTTATAGCATCTCTACCAGCCAAGATTTTTTAAAATCAAATGTATATATCTAAACTCAAAGAAAGCTAACTCAATAACAGCTCTTGCTATTTTTTGTTTGTTTGTGGGGGTTTTTTTGTTTTGTTTTGTTTTTTGTCTTTTTGAGACAGGGTCTTCCTGTAGTCCCAGCTGACCTGAACTCACTATGTAGACCAGGCTGACCTTGAACTCAGAGATCTGCCTGCCTCTGCCTCCCGAGTGCTGGGCCTAGGGGGCATGTGCCACCATGCCCGGCTGTTTGTTTTTAAAGGCCAGGCACTGTGGCATAGGGCTGTAATCCCAGCACATGGGAGGCAGGGTCAAGAGGATCTCTGTGAGTTCAAGGCCAGTCTAATCTATATAGTAAGTTACAGGCCAGCCAGTGCTGCATAGTGAGACTCTAAAAAGAAGAGGGAGGGAAAGAAGGGAAAGAGCGATTTTAAAAAATATTTTATTTTGTGTGTGTATTGCCTCCATGTAGGTAGGTACACCTGTGTTGTACAATGCCTGCAGAGGTCAGAAGAGAGTGTTAGATTCCCCTGGAGCTAGAGATCTTGATGGCTATTAGCTGCCATGTGGGTGCTGGGTATCGAACCCAGGTCCTCTGCAAGAGCAGCTAGTGCTCTTAACTGCTGAGCCATTTCTCCAGCCCCCCTCCCCTTTTTAAAAAATTGTTTTAAATCATGAAAGCTTTGTCGACAATGGCAGCTGCTAACAAAGTCAGTACAATCTTAGAGCCCATGAGTCTCCTTTCAAAGCTGTCCCTCGTGGCCATGTTGTTCAGATGATCTGCTATCCTAAACAGCCTTGGTCAGCTGACCACAGAGGTGTACACATAACCTATCCCCCTTCCACCACCACTGCCAATTGGATTTTTATTATCCATTGCGACCTCTGTGCCCAGACCATCCCTGGTGACAGCTCTTCTAGCTCTGTATTACAGTTTAAGCGTTGCACACACCCACTGTGCTTCTTATGATGCTGCCCTTCCTTCACTAATTGAGAGAACTATAGAGCTAAGCACAAGCTGGGAAAAACAACCTGAGCCAACCAGACAACCTAAG